AACCATGTAATTATATTCGATTTAACAAATTTTCATTGGAAAAAAAATCATTTATAATCAAAAATTGCTACTTTTTTTGTATTATTTTATAAGAATTGATTCTTTTGTAATTTTCACTATTTATCTACAAGTAAGTCATGTGATCTTCGTACGGCTCGGAAGTTGAGTCATCATTGTTGGGAAAAAAAAGCAAGCGCAATAAACATAAGAGTTCATCATTTCACTACATCAATAGCGTTGGTTTTGTCTTTTCCTTCTCAGAGTATTGCATATGATGGTGCATGATTACTTTTACCATTCTGTGTAGTGAACGAGCGATAGTCAGTCGACAATTGGAAAGTATAAAAATAGTGTAGACAGATAAAGTAAGTACGACTTCATTTCTTTCATTCTTCCTCGTCTATTTTATAGAGGATTAAAATAATTCTTTTTTCAAATAAAGTTGTATATTCCATGTTGTAAATCAGTTTTCGTAAGAATTTCGAAATAATATTTCTAAATATCTAAAACATTGAATGAACTGTTTTTACGTTTGAATCGAAGTACTACATTCAGTAAAATCTAAAGCAAATATTGCATCAGAATTGATGCTTTACAGAATAATAAAAAAAAGTTCTTTGGTCCATACTGAGATGCTTGGAAAGAGTTTAAGTTGTGTGCATGGTGTCATTTGTATCATTTGCACTAGGTTGGAAATAATATTTTGCTAGGAAGGTACCACTATAATTTCAAATAGAAGACATAATAAATTTTATGTCAAATGAAAGCTCGTCAAAAATGGCATTTATTGATATTAAATCGTAAGGATTATGAAAACTTTTTAACATCGAACTTAAGAAACTTTCAGATATTTTATACTTTTTTTTGCAGTAGAAAAGTAAAGTGTCAGTAATTGAAAAATGGATTAAAATGTTTTTCTTGGATATTTTTACATGATTCGATAGAGATTGTCGAGCTCTAAAAAACTGTATATATTAAAAATTTTTTAAGTCATTTTTTTAAGATAAAAAATTCAAAAAACTATTTGTAAAATCTTTAACAACGTTGAAAAAGTCATATTTTTGATATGAGAGAAAAACACTCGAATTTTCAATCAAAGTTGCTTTTTTATTATTTTTACTTTCTCAGGTGTTTCGAAATATATTTATTCGATTCTGTAAAAAAGACCACTTTTTTCCCTATAAAAAGTGTAAAAAAAATACGGGCTTTTTGGTACACTCTTTAGACGGTTTTCAGTGAATTTTAACCCAACAACTCTGTTTAAAAAATTTTTAATATATACAGTTTTTTTAGAGCTTGACAATCTCTATCGAATCATGTAAAAATATCCAAGAAAAACATTTAAATCCATTTTTCAATTACTGACACTTTACTTTTCTACTGCAAAAAAAAGTATAAAATATCTGAAAGTTTCTTAAGTTCGATGTTAAAAAGTTTTCATAATCCTTACGATTTAATATCAATAAATCCTATTTTTGACGAGCTTTCATTTGATATAAAATTTATTATATCTTCTATTTGAAATTATAGTGATATCTCCCTAGCAAAATATTATTTCCAACCTAGTACATATACTCATGCGAAACATGTATGCCTCTCATTTTCTTTGTGTAGTTGATCATTGAATTTTTCATAATTGTCTAAAATCCAATATGGCTTTACGCTTCAACGATGATACTAATCGTTCATCATTTCCAATGTATTTTGGTCGTCAAACGAAATTTGGTGATGCTGCTTCGACGCCATTACAATTAATTAAATTACATATCGAACAGCAAGTGAATGCAACATTTCCACTCATACATCAAGTAGCAACAACAATGACATTTAAAAATAATTATAATCGAATATTAGAAGGAGCTTTAGAATTTACACTACCTGATAAAGGAATAATTTGTGGATTTGGTGAATAATTTTATAATTGATGATCAATAAAAATTGACATTTTCTATTATAGGTCTTGATGTTGATGGTGTTATTGTTGATGGTGTTGTTGTTGAAAAAGAAAAAGCTCGTATTACATTTGAAAAAGAAGTTCGAAAAGGTGTTGATCCTGGATTAGTAGAAAATGTTCAAGGAAATATTTTTCGTACAAGAGTTTATCCAATACAACCTGGTGGCAAACGAATAGTACGTGTTATTTATCAAGATCTAGCACAAATTGAAAATGATTATTTTCTCTTTCATATTCTTATCTACTTTACTAATATTCTTGAAAATTTGGATATTTCATTGATTTGTGCACATACATCAAATCATCGTCAACCAGAATTTCTTCCAAATATTAAATTTAATCAACCTTTCATCAATTCAAATGGTAAATATTGTTCTGAACTTCATCTTGTCAATGTTGAACCATCACAAGATGAACAATCTATTACATATATGTCAAGAACTTTAGTAGAAGAAGAAGTCATGTATGATGTAGAAATTGATCCTGATGATCATAATCAAGCCTATTTTGCTCTATGTTATATGCCACCATTTCTGCAAAACAATAAAATCACAACTGCTAATCAACAAACAATGTCTATTTGTATATTATGGGATGCTAGTTTAAGTCGAGCAAATATTGAAAATCGTAATTATGAAATAAATATACTCAAAAATATATTAGATATTTGGCAATCAAATAATATTAATGTAAATATAACTGTAATTATATTTCGAAATATAATTGAAGAACCAAATATATTTCAAACACATGATAAAAATTATTGGTCAAAACTTAATCAATTATTAACAAATCTATCATATGATGGTGCAACAAATTTATTTCAATTATCTACAATTTCAACTAGTATACCAAATATTACACATTATTTTTTATTTAGTGATTGTCTTTCAACAATAGGCAATGATGATCCAACATTGTTGAATCAATTGACAACTAAACCAATATGGATATTTAATGCAAATAGTGTACATGAACCAACAAATTTTTCATTGATTAACTATTTAACTAATACTAGTGGTGGTAATTATATTTCACGTGATAAAATTATAGCTCAAAATAGTGCAAAAATTATTATTGAATTGATTGATAAACCACAATCTAGATATATTAATACAGATATTATCAATGATACCAATATTCATGATATTTATCCAAGTCATTCGATTATTTTAACATCAAATTCAGAAAGATTTATACTCGTTGGGAAAATGTCATCAGCAATTTCAGCTAAAATTTCGATTAATTTTTCTATTTCAAATCAAATACATCGTAAAGAATTAATAATAGATAAAACAAATTTGACATTTGAAAATTATGGATTATTACGTCGTTTATATGCAAAACAAATGTTAAGTGAATTAATAGCATTTCCAGAAAAAAATAAACAACATATTTTAGAAATTGGTATGAAATATTCTATTGTCAATGATTTTACATCTATACTTGTCTTAGGAACATTACAACAACATATTCAATATAATATATGTCCACATCCATCACGTAAAACATTATACAGTGATTATATAAAATATCAACAAAATAAAACACAACAAGAATCAATAAAAAGTCAAACTAAATTAACAGCTATTTTAAATCTATGGCAAGCGCGTTGCACATGGTACGATAAAAAGATAATAGACGAAGATCGTACAAATGCATTCAAAAGGAAAACTTCTAATCCACATGATATGAATATACATTCGATATCAATATTCCACGATCGACTAAATTTTAGTACGTCTTCGTGGCATTTTAAAACAACAGGACGTCTAATGGAGAATGCAATGGGAGCTAACAAGTTAGCAACTAAAAGTTTGCGGAGATCTTTTGAACCAGAGATATTATCACGATTAGAATCACGTTACTCCGCATTGAGCAACAATGCAGAACTGACTTTCTATGATGAAGAACAAGAGGCATGTTTGGACGATGATAGATCTACTATTGTTCATCATAGAAATACTGCTACTCATGCTCATTCAATTACTCTTCAAAATTGGGATCCCCAAACACCTTACATCGACAAAATTAAATCAACTACTAATTTACAAAAAGCTTATCAAATTTATTTAGATGAACGTCAATCATATTTAAAATCACCATCATTCTATTTTGATATAGCATCTTATTTGTTTTCAAAAGCTCGTTCATCAATATCGAAATCATCATCATCATCAATTGATATATTTAATAAACATCATTCAATTTCTATTTTTGGTTTTAAAACATTTTCACATGATACTCATCATAATAATGATAATGATAATTATGAATTATTAGGTTTACGTATTTTAACAAATGTATTAGAATTAGAATTAGAATCATCACAATTATTACGAACTGTTGCTTATAAACTTGTCGAACTTGGTCTTCTTAATTTAGCTGAAAATATTTTTCGACATATTATAACTTTAAGATCAGATGAACCACAATCATTTCGAGATTTAGCATTAGTATTACAAGAATCTAACATTCAAAATAAGAATATAACAGAAATATCAGATCAATTTAAGAAGGTTATATTTAGCGAATGGGATAATCGTTTTACTGAAATTGAACTTACAACATTACATGAATTTAATTGGTTTATATTTGAATATCATCAACAAAATCAAATATCAAATTTAATTGATCATCGTCTTATTCGACATTTACCTGTTGATTTAAGAATCGTTATAGTTTGGGATACAAATGATACAGATGTTGACTTGCATGTCATTGAACCGACAGGTGAAGAATGTTATTATTCACATAGAAATACAGCTATTGGTAGTATGATAAGTCATGATTTTACAACGGGCTATGGACCAGAAGAATATCTAATTCGAAAAGCAGTCAAAGGTACATATACAGTTCGAGCAAAATATTTTGCTAATCATCAACAAAGTCTAACTGGTGCAACAACAATCATGGTACATATTTATAAATATTATGGGCAATCAAATCAACAAAAAGAAATTGTTACATTACGATTAAGTAGTAATCAAGAAATGATTGATGTCTGTAAAGTAGAATTTGATGATGATATCAAACAAAAATCAAAAAATAAAACAACATATGATCAAGATTCGAATATGACTATTCATTCAAATGTTATTTGTAATGGATGTAATATGTCATCAATAAAAGGAGATCGTTATAGATGTTTATTTTGCCCAGATATTGATTTTTGTCAATCATGCAAGTCGACTAGTAGAATAAATTATGATTCGAATCATCAATACAATCATCCATTATTATGTATTAAAGATTCCAACGAATATCCAAAGTCAATTTACTTAAGTAATCGTAGTAAAATCAATCATAAGAATAAACAATGTAATTTATGTTTTATGAAACCGATTATTGGTATTCGATACAAATGTGCTTGTGGAATTAATTTATGTGAAAAATGTGAATTTATGGGTTTACATGATACAGATCATCGTCGCACAAAAATAGTTAAATCAAAATGATTCAATTCAAATTTTGACTTGTGAACTTCTATTAAATAACTAATATTTACTAAAATAATTTTATTCCTGACTTTCTATTTCTTTGAATAAAATCACTTTTCAACAGATATTTAAATCGAATTCAAATTGTAGATTGGGAAGTAGATGAAAGTACATTTTTGATTTACAAAGAATCAACATCTATTTTTCACAGAGAATTTTTTTTTCTTCGTCGAAATTCAGCTTTTAGTCTAAAATTTATCTTAAAGGTTACATAGTAATAAAATACATGTTTGTTTTCTGAATATGTCACGAGACTAAATAACACCCTACTTTTTCAATTAATTGACTGAAGAGTCTTTGATAGACAAGCTGTTTTCGTTTTAGTTGTGAGTGTGAATGTAGATAAAAACGAATATCTACACCCTTAATTTTACGCTTGAGGGTGTGGGGATCATTCTCTTCCTGACGCCCACACCCACACCCTCAAACTGTATTCATAAAATGTTCTTAAACATTGTTGATATTGAACCAAGTTTTTCTGTTGTCTTGAATAAAATAAACGATTACGTTTGAATTTTTAATATTATTGGCACGACATTACGATATACTTGTGCAAGACAGGTTTTCTTTATTTGACTTGAGCCTTTTAAGAAATGATTATACATTGATTTCTTTTTTTAGAGACAAAAATTTTCGAGAGATTAATCTTGAGGAAAAGTCGAACAGATGATTCAAGATATTATCGCCAGTAAAATTTTAACGAAAGAATATCGAATCTATTACAAAAATAAAAATCTATATTTTACTAGCTCCAATATATAGTTTTTCCTTGATTGGCTCTAGTCGACTTAAATGTGTAATGATATTGACTTCAAATTCATAGTCATTGAATAGTTTATTGAATGTTATCTTACCAGTTGAAGCACTAATAAATTCTTAATTGTTTTAGGAAATAAACTTTTATCCTAGTTGAAATCAAGGTTTGATAGATTTAAATATTTTTGTGATAATCCTTATAACAGTCGAAAGTAATTTCACTTTATTAATATTAGAAAGATGGAATTATGAATACTTTTTTTTTACATTAGTATATCAAATAATTGTTATTATTATTCAACAAAGAAACAAAGTGGATTGTTGATGAAATACAAAAGAAAACAGTCATTGAATCGGACTTATTATTGAAAGATTTTGTTAGTTTATTGAAATATAAAATATTACTTTCAAGATATTCATGTCTCAAAGAATTCTAAAATGAACTTTATGCTCATTTTAAATACATCTTCAGGACTTTATTGTGACTTATAGTTGCTTAGTTATGAGCAAATCTTTGAAGAAAAACAAAAACACTGTTTTTACAGAAATATTCATTTCAGTGTTTTGATTAAAATGGTCTTACTTTGAATTAGAAGAAACTCTTCTTGAAGAGTACTTTGTAATATATAGCTTGCTTTCATTTTCTTTCGGATCTTTGCCAAGCAAAAGAATTCATTGGATTTTACACATCACAATGAACCATGAGTAATTATTTAGAGAGTTTTTTTCTTTTGAATCCTAACTTATTGCAAATCATGAATTTCTAGGACGTCAAATTCTCTACAACAAAAAAAAACTTTTGTGATTATGTTCACACGGCATTTTCTTTATTCCGCGTTTGGTTGCAGTTAACTAATCATACGTTAGAATAAAATTTTGAAAATGTTTTACAAAAAACATCAAGTTCTAGTTTCAACCAACTAATTTTGGTTGTTTTTAATAAAGTTTGTATGTTCGAAAAACCAAGAAATAGATTTAACATGACTTTTGAAATTAGGATTTCGTACAAGCTTTCATGTGGCTGAAAATGAAATAGGTACATTGCACTGAGATTTTTTACATACATGTTAGGACTTGTTTTGTTTTAGTAAAACAACTCGACTAGATCTGAGCATAGAATTAGATTCAATGGGAAAAAACAATTCGGACTTTTTACGTCAAAAAGATAAAGTCTCTCTGATTAAGATGAAATTGTTTGATTTCTTATGAGAAAAATCCAACTTTTTCTGCTATGAATTCATCTTGTAGAAATGTATGGATTTATTGATTAGAAAGGGGCATTTTGAACGAGATTCAAATGATAAATGTATACCTTAAGCAAGTCCCTCATTATTGTCGGTTTGATACGAATATGCTATTTTTCATGTGATTTTATTTTCAAGAAGTTTAGTAGAGAAAAATAAATTTATTAGTGTACATAAGGCACATCAAAATTCTTGCTGTTTTGAAATTCAGTTTTAACTCATTCAATATTCGTTTTATTTCGACACAATCAGTCCAAAAATGAAGTTTATCCTAACAGAAATTATGAAAACAAAATAATCAGAATGATTTTGCTAAAGTGAACAGATAGTATAATCTATCAGCTTAAATACAAGCAAGGGTGTGGGTATGGATGGGTTTGACTGTCGTCATGCACATAGGAGATCTTTTTAAAAGCAATCAGGAGTTTCACCAAGAAACTGTTGCACAATCAGATGCTTTTTTCGATAGAGTCCAGTAGAAAATATCAAGATTCTAGTAAACTTGACTTAAAAATAAATAAAGTATCTGACATTACGTCTTAGAGAACGATAATGGTTACTACATTGTAACAAATAGTTTAGAATAATAAGTCGTTCAATAGGATTTATTAACCACGTAAACCCTTTCATGCACCTTTTTAGTTCATGAATGCTCAGAACAGTATTTTTTATTTCACGATTTCTTTTAAAGGATACATTAATAAATATTTTTGCGACGGATTATATGAACTAAAAGGGTTTATGAGTTTAATAAATTTGTTGAAAGCTTTATTATTCTGCACCTATATTTTAGCATATTTCAAATATTTGTGACTGGCCTTTGTTAGTTGAATAATAGGAATAATTATTTCACAAATGAAATAAAGAAAAGAGAGATATAATCAGGTGCATATCTGAAAATCTAAAATCTGGGAGTGGGTGCGAATTGTCTATTCTGTCACATTCATACCAACACTCACACCTGCTCGATTCTCTAAGAATTCAATCCATATGCGTAGCATTGGTTTTCTACAGCTCAATGTTCAAAAAAGTTTTATTTTATGTAAATTTGTATATGTACCATCGCTTATTTAAATTATCAGCTTGAATAAAAATATTTTGATCCATTCTTTTCGAAATATTCAAAGGAAAACGCTGTAAACATTTGCTTTAGAGATTACTTTCTTCCTAAAATTGATTCTGTTTTCGTCATTCAAGTGATCTTTAATGAATATCTATATACATTTTTGCTTCCCTTCGAGTTCATCGACTATTAACTTCTCGCAACACCCTCTTGCTCTGAGAACAGAGTATATTTGTATCGCTATTCTCACCACCATGTCAATCAAAATTTCTCTCTATCCATCACTAATGTTAATACTTTCCATTGACTTACTTTACTTCCTTTAATTGCAAAGAGTTTAATCAGTAATCCTTCTTCAGCAATTCATATGTTGCTGCTTGCAATATGAAGTACGTGCGAGAACATTATAGGAGCGTCTCTTCAAACAATACAGAATATCACCATTTTCGTGACATTTTTCTTTACGTAAGTGTCGTAGACACTTCAAACTGATGCACACTTTTTCAATGGCAAATTCATGAAAGCCTAGAATATTTAGCGTCAGGAATCAATCACTGGTAGTGCTTTTCTATTCCTAATTCTTATTGAGGGACAAAACCAGACTTTTGCACTAGAGATTACTTTGAGCTACTTCAAATATTTAGATTGACATGTTCCGCTGTACTTTTTTTGCCTCAAGTCTATTATTCTTTCTACCTTGCTACTCATAGTTTGTTTTCTGCTGGTTATAAATGTACACTAGGCTATAACTAGAACAGTCACAAATTTACTATTCATGATTCCTAGAGTTCAAGAATCTCTCACGTTAGAAAACATTTCCACTAGTAACCCACAAGACAGTGCAAACTATATGTGTTCATAACTCATCGGAGATATTCATCTTCATTTAACCACTCACACGAACTAGAGTAAGTTGGGGTAAATGTAGAAGAAAAATCGAACATGTTTTGTATAACT